ATATGTGAATTTGCGCAGCCCTGCCGCCCTGTAGCAGTAGTTCTGCTATAGGGTGGTCGGGAATCAATTAATACAGTTGCTGGACCTGTAATAGGTACCCATCAAGAATGCTGAGTTTAGTATGCTGTACTATAGCTTCCATCATTAAAAAGTGCTCTATGAATGCAGGACGGGCGGATGAATGAAAGGCTCTCCTCCATTCATAAAGCACTTTTCATTGATGAAAGCTATAATAAAACTTCTGGGTGAAGTGAGTTGAGGGGTGGAAAGCGTGGGCATAGTGGGCATTTTTAACAAGTGGCTACGACAGTTCCAGTGTATTATCCCAGGCAGCACAGATGCGGGGGTGTAGGGGTATGGGGTGGGGCAGTAGACAGAGAATTTCAACTAGGACATTTAGTACCAGCACAAGGGACACTTCTCAATAAATGTAATGGTTGTCCCTTGTGCTGATTTAAATAAAAACAATTAACTAAACATAGGCTTTAAGTCAAGATTGGCACAATTGAGTGTTCTGGATTTCTAAAAAAAAGTTAAATTTCCCTGCACGCGCTAAGATGTGTTTTCTTATGTTTAGAAGTGGCAGTTCAGGAGCTTGAAGCCAGCAGGAGCTATCCTGTGTGAAGTTAGATCTGAAACACCTCCGATCAGATGTTCACAGGGAAGCCTAATGTGACCATTTGATCGCTTCAAGGATGCTTAGCAGGCATAAGTGGTAGCAGTAGCTATAAAATACATTGATTTATACTCACAAGAACTAGAGAGAGAAAGAGCAGGACTAGTTTTTCCCTCGCCTTTCTGAATCTCGCTGTTTATCTTCAGTATATGTGTGTACTTACTGGTAGCTTTTAAGTGAAGAGCAATAAAGACTTGGATGCTTTAAAGTGCATCTAAACTCAAGAACAAAAATGTAATATATTGCAGCGTACCAATCCCTCAGTGTGGTGACTGCATTCATTTATCTTGTGTCAGGCTTTTTTCCCCCTTTATTTTCACTATGATCCTAATGATAAAACAATTCCTGTCCTAGGGTGACAAAGCTCACACTGATTGCAGGAGCGCAGCACAGATAGAGAACACAGCAATTTATCCACAGGGATATTTTTTAAGTTATTAGGCATATATAATAAAATACTATCAATGTTATATTTAACAGTGCTAATGGGAGCAAATAGAAGAAGTTCATTGTTAGGGTTTACATACATTTAAACCTTAAAAAAAGAAGAACTCCAAGAAATTGTTTTTCCGATGCAGTGGCGCTGTGCCTGCACTGCATGGGATAACTGCTTGTTTTTGTCTAGGGGATTGGAGAGTGGAGATATACTCACCTAATCTGCCGATCCTCCCAGTGCAAGACCGGTTCTTGCCACTCCTGCCCCCCTGTGGTCTAGCTGTCTTGTGAGTCAAACTTTTCTTGACGTCATCATGTCCACAGACTGCAGGAACAGTCCACTGCTGGACATGGGGAAGCTTCGTTTTCTGGAGGATCAAAGGATCGGGTGAGAATAGCGTCTACTCCTAAAACAAGCAGTTAAAGCAAAGTTCCACTCACCCTGTCAAAAAATAAAAGTCATAAGCTACAAAAACTGTAGCTGCTGACTTTTAAAAAATAGTCACTTATCTGTCCCTCGGTCCCACGGTGTGTCCCCTGCAGTCTGCTTCACCGGCTGTCCTGTATTCCAGGAGGCCAGCATTTTCAGTATGGGCACCGGCTGTGATAGCTTGCGGCCTCACAGCCAGGTACCCACTGTTCTATGGGTGAGTAGTGCTGCGCTTCATGAATGGTCCTGTAGTCTTCTGGGACCTGTCATGTGTCCCAAAAGACTACAGGGAGGGAGGGAGGACACCTTCTGCTTCCGATCGTCTAGCCAATTTGGACCGGAAGTGGGAGTGGGTACCTATCAAATTTGGGTACCCGCTTCCCCCCACCCCCCAAAGGTGCCAATCCTTAGTGGGGAGTGGGGGAGTAGTCCTTAAAGCGAAACTTCCCCTTTTGGGTGGAGCTCCGCTTTAATCCATGCAGTATGGACCAGCCCCACTGCATGGGAAAACAAAATTTTGCCCGGAGTTCTGCTTGAAAGTGTATTCCACTTTTGCAGCCACAACAGTCCCCATTCACATAGCATACCCTAAAGGAGAAGTGTGGGATTCTAAAAAAACAAACATCTATATTCACCTCCCTGCTGCAGCATCACTGTGATGGTGTAGCTGTCCCTTGCTGTCTCTGAGCCTGAGAACTGAGTGATCACATGACTGCTGACCACTCTTGGTCTTCATAGAGCACAGAGCAGAGACTGTCAATCATTACTCTCTGCTCTGCCTCTCCAGCTCTTACTAAAGCGCCGAGCTGTGGAGGGGGCAAGAGTGGCTGGCTCAGGTTCTCAGCGACACACTGAAAGGCCAAGCCAACTGCCGGTCAGGCATCTGGGTGGATCCCGACATTATTGTCAGGATCCTCCCAGATCCTTGAGATGCTTTGTGTCATCAACTGACAGCAGACGTTAGTCATTTGTCAGCTAATTCTGGGTCACAGGAGAACAAAAGTATGTGCATTCCTGTGACCAACAAGAGAATGACCAAAAAAAAAGTGTTGGTCAAACTTCTCTTTTTAAAATAAATATTTAAAACTTCAAGTTTACCTTTTTCAGATGGATCCTCCAGCAAGAAAAAAATCCTACTAGTTTTCTTTCTTTATAAGGGGTCTGGGCACTTGTGTTTGGCCTAATTAACCCTGTCTGTACTGTGCAGGCAGATCTTCATTAGCATTCTAACTAGATCTGAACATTCCCCCTGACAAAGGGTTCAAAGTTTAGAGGATGCACGTCTTGCATTGTATGTTAAAGCGGTTCTTAACTCTATCTGAAAAAAATATATATACTATATATACAGTAGCTGCTGACTTTTAAAAAAAGACACTTATGTGGCAGGCATTCAGGTGGTCATCCAGGCTGAGTCTTTGCTGATCTTTGGGTCCCTGGCACCGGCATGTTTAGCGTGGAAAGCCAGCTGTGACTCCTTGTGGCTTCCCACTGGGCATGCGTGAGCCATGCTGCACTGTTTAAATAGCAGCCTGCTAGGACCTGTGAGGGCAAGGGGGGCGGGGGGGGGGGGGTCGAACTTCTGGTGGAATTGTCTAGGTGATCTGACCGGAAGTGGAAGTGGGGTACCTACCAAAACTAGGTACTCGCCCCCACCCAAAAATAACAAGAGTTTAACAAGTTTTAGAACAAAAAGAGGAGTGGGGGGGGGCATAATACAGAACTTCTCTGTTAGCATGAAGTTCTGCTTTAATGAGATACAGATTTAGGGCAGACTCACTCTGACAATGTTAAAAAAAAATTTGCCATCAGCCACGACGCCTCCTCCTGAGAAACATCTAAAAGGTAAGAAATAAAAATAATTAGACATCAGGAACACATAACAAACATATAGCGGGCTTCTCTCAAATAGACTGCAAAAGTGGAAATACGGAAACTGTGAGGTTGATTTAATAAAACTGGAGAGTGCAAAATCTGGTGCAGCTGTGCACGGCAGCCAATCAGCTTCTAACTTCAGCTTGTTCAATGAAGCTTTGACAAACAAACCTGGAAGCTGATTGGTTTCTATTTAGAGCTGCACCAGATTTTGCACTCTCCAGCTTTAACCTCCCTAGCGGTATTCCCGAGTGTAGCTCGGGGTAAAATGTCAGTACCAAAAGCGGTAACCCCGAGCTACACTCGGGCTTACCATGCGGTGCTGCATAGGGATTCCCTGCAGAGCTTACCTTGTCCTTCGCTCCCGCGATGTGTCCCCTGCAACGTCCCCGGCCATCTCCTCCAGCCGATGCCGGCATCCGGCTTCTGTGTTTCGGTTCCTGTGACGTCGGGACATATGGACGGCGCCGGCGGTGGGAATTTGAAAATTTTAAAAAATGTCATTTTTTTCCAAACAAATTTTACATAGTAAAACATTGCTGTTTCAACCCATTTCACATACATTTTGTCCCTAGTGCTTTGTCCTGTGCCCTGCCTGCATTTTGTCTGTTCTTTCTGCCTGGAAACTGAGAAACGTCCACGGTGTCCAAAAAGCGTCCCTTTAGGTCAAAAGCGGTTTTAGACCAGCTAGAGAACAGCGATAGTAAATCAGAACCACTTGCAGAATTGAGTGATAATGATTCATGGGGAAATTCGTCATCAGACACTGAAAACAATTTTGTGACTTTGCTCAGCGATGTGCGAACTTGGCGCTATATTTCAAATTTCAGTGTTTTTGGTTTGATTATAATTATTGAATTAAATGTATTATTATTATATTATTATTTTTTTATGATTATTTATTAAAATATAATTTATGATTTTGTGTTTCAAATTTTATCATACCCAGGATGTTTAATAGACTCTTGTTCAGACAGATTTCAGTGAGTTATTCCTAAATATTACAGCCTACAATAAAAAAAAATTGCATATTTTCATGCAAAATAATGGTACCGCTTTCAGCACCAAAAATCTGAAATAATCATACCGCTAGGGAGGTTAATAAATCAACTCCTGTGTGTGGCCGGCTATAGTCTATTGCGTACTGGTATGATGCTTCACTTCTTGTATTACCATGACTGCTTGATATAGATCAGCGGTTCTCAACCTGGGGGTCGCGACCCCTTTGGGGGTCGAACGACCATTTCCCAGGGGTCGCCTAAGACCATCGGAAAACACATATTTCCGATGGTCTTAGGAACCGAGACACTGCTGCTGTCTCCGGCGATGTGTGGGGCGGGATGATATGCTGCCCCTGTCACCGCCTCCTCGCCGCTGATTGGCCACCGGAACTGTAGCTCAGGAGAGGCACACAGGCGGCCAATCACCAGCGAGAAGGTGGAGCTTGGAGAGGAGGAGCCGAGCGGCAGCGCGCGGAGATCGAAGAAGATCGAGGGAACTGCAGGAGCGAGTGAAGAGAGAGGCCAGAGAAGGAAGACAGCTGACAGGTAAGTGCAAATTTTGCTGCTGCAGCCAGGTATGCAGGCTGTAGATGGGAGAGGGAGAGAGCGAGCCCAGGCTGGAGCAGGAGTCAGCAAGGTAAGTATCATTGGTGTCAGTGGGAGGGATAGTGCCCCATCATTTGTGTCACTAATACCAACGATGGGGCACTATTCCTCCCCCCACTGACACCAACGATGGTGCACTATTCCTCCCACTGACACCAACGATGGTGCACTATTCATCCCACTGATAACAAAGATGGGGCACTACTCCTCCCACTGACACCAACGATGGGGCACTATTCCTCCCCCACTGACACCAACGATGGGGCACTATTCCTCCCCCCACTGACACCAACGGGGGCACTATTCCTCCCCCCACTGACACCAACGATCGGGCACTATTCCTCCCCCCACTGACACCAACGATGGGGCACTATTCCTCCCCCCACTGACACCAACGATGGGGCACTATTCCTCCCCCCACTGACACCAACGATGGGGCACTATTCCTCCCCCCACTGACACCAACGATGGGGCACTATTCCTCCCCCCACTGACACCAACGATGGGGCACTATTCCTCCCCCCACTGACACCAATGATGGGGCACTATTCCTCCCCCCACTGACACCAACGATGGGGCACTATTCCTCCCCCCACTGACACCACAACGATGGGGCACTATTCCTCCCCCCACTGACACCAACGATGGGGCACTATTCCTCCCACTAACGCCAACGATGGGGCACTATTCCTCCCACTGATACCAATGATGGGGCACTATTCCTCCCACTGATACCAATGATGGGGCACTATTCCTCCCACTGACACCAATGATGGGGCACCTATTCCTCCCACTCATACCAATGATGATGGGGCACTATTCCTCCCACTCATACCAATGATGGGGCACTATTCCTCCCACTCATACCAATGATGGGGCACTATTCCTCCCACTGATACCAATGATGGGGCACTATTCCCCCCACTGATACCAATGATGGGGCACTATTCCCCCCACTGACACCAATGATGGGACACTATTCCTCCCACTGACACCAATGATGGGACACTATTCCTCCCACTGACACCAATGATGGGACACTATTCCTCCCACTGACGCCAATGATGGGACACTATTCCCTCCCACTGACGCCAATGATGGGGCACTATTCCTCCCACTGACGCCAATGATGAGGCACTATTCCTCCCACTGACGCCAATGATTGGGCACTATTCCTCCCACTGACGCCAATGATGGGGCACTATTCCTCCCACTGACACCAATGATGGGGCACTATTCCTCCCACTGACACCAATGATGGGGCACTATTCCCTCCCACTGACACCAATGATGGGACACTATTCCTCCCACTGACACCAATGATGGGGCACTATTCCTCCCACTGATACCAACGATGGGACACTATTCATCCCACTGACATCAGTGATGGGGCGCTAGTCCTCCCACTGCAAAATTACAGTTATGAAGTAGCAACGAAAATAATTTTATGGTTGGGGGTCACCACAACATGAGGAACTGTATTAAGGGGTCGCGACATTAGAAAGGTTGAGAACCACTGATATAGATGAATAGAAGATGATAGATTACGAGAGTGCACTTACTTCTTATTTATTCTTTATGTAATTGCATTACATGTATGTGAACTGTCTTACCTGACATAAAAATTGCCATTCTATGCAACCTATCTCATCATCCAGGTACGTTGTACTGCCAGACAGCATAGGTTGATGATGCAACTTTTCTGTCAAAAAATGTAATCACTGATCTTCCCTCAATCTGCTGATTGCATGCTGAAGACACTGATGAAGTCATCATTCTGATATCTTCCTAGTAAACAAACCTTTATACCGAGTGACAGTGCAGACTCCAGTTTCCATCTTAGTTCTGAGAACAAAGTAAGCTAATTTAAAGAAAGACCCCAGTACTTACACTAGCTGCAATAAAATGAGGGCAGACTGACAACTCATGGGGCCCCCGGGCAATAGGGGATCATGGGGCCCCTGTGTCCTTGCCCAAACTCAAAAAAGCCTATGAAAAAGGTACCAGGGGCATCTCATGGGGCCCCCTACTGACCCTGGGCCATCGGGAAGTGCCCGAGTTTCCAAATGGTCAGTCCGCCCCTAATGAGGAATAAATGGTGATGTTGTAAGTCTGCCTAGAGCTTAGGAGTTAGTCATACCTCTGGTATCCATCCAAAACTATAACATTCATTCTCCGTGGCTTTTATACCAAACATACTATAAGAAATAGTCTGTTTAGGTCAGTCCACTTCTGTGCAACCATTAACTGTAAAAAGCTCTTCACTTTCAGATATATACTTAGACAAATTATAGCGGTTTTTCTATTTGCTTAAGCAAATAAAATGCAATAATCCTGGCTATAATTCCATAGTAATCTGATTTGATGACTGTCATTAAACACTGCTAGAAAAACATCATATAAACTTTAATAAAACCACAACCATGAATATTGAACTGATGTTTTCTCAGTTTACAGAGGGAATATGGAAAGATTCTTTCTCCAAGACTGAAAAATTAGGGTTATGAGAAATAAATGTGTTTACCAGGGGCATAACTACAAATCCTGTAGTACCACTGTAATGGGGTCCTTTGGATAACTCCAAAGCAGCTGTAGCAGGTAGCAGTGTCCACTGTGACAATAGTTGTCATTGATCTAGAACAGGGGTCTTCAAACGTTCTAAACAAAGGGCCAGTTTACTGTTCTTCAGACTTTATGAGGGCCAGACTGTGGCCAGTGGGAGTAGAAAAGGTCCCGACGACAGTAGGAAAAAATAGTGCCCCTTTGTTTGGTGTCAGTGGGTGGACTTCTGACCCATCATTGATGTCATTGGACCCTATCATTTGTGCCACTGGGAGGAATTGTGCCTCATCATTGGTATCATTGGAAGGAGTTGTGTCCCCTTCATTGGTGTAAGTGGCGGACATTATACCCAATTGGTATCAGTGGATGAAATAGTGCCCTGAGGGCCAGATAAAAGCAAAGGACTACATCTGTCCCCCCGGGCCACAGTTTGGAGACCACTGATCTAGAACTATAAGCAAAAATTGTTTTATTTTTTAAGTTTTGGGTAGAGTAAGGGAGGGTCAGTTGTTTTTGCCATATGTGTGATTTCCCTTCAGTTCCTGTTTCATAGCCAAAACAGAAAGCAAGAGTAAATCCCTCCAAAGTGAAGGAAATCACCAGGGCCATCAGAACTAGTATACCCATTGGATGATTTCCCCTCTATTTCTGCTGTGGTCACCACTCCAAATGTTTTGTACAAAGTCAGCTGTCCTATAAGGTTTTAGCAAAGGGGGAAACTGGGATTTTTGACTGCATCAGGCATAGAGTGTCGATTTCAATATGTAGCAGAAGTTCAGAGGGTAGTAAATCTACCCTTCTAAGACAGATAAGCGAATGCTTCTTACTGGACAGAGGGAGTCTGTCTAATGTAATTGTAAGATCTGCCTTCAGCCTTCTAGACTGGAAACTTCACAGTTTAGTTTTTCTTAAAAATTAATTCCATGTTATGGATATTTTATACACATAGCTACGTGGGTCCAGCTTGGACCAATTATGTACTGTATATACCATACCTGGCTGATGCCCCTGGAAGCTGTAAAGCACTAAAATAGGTACCGCTAGTCCAATAAACTCACTTGCTTCTGGATCTCATGCTGAGGAGGTTAGCTTCTTGGCAGGGAGGTAAATAGGCAGGGCAGTGACATTGTGCTCTTAACATCATCCAATTAAGAAATCTTTGCATATGGGTGACCCTCAATTTACTAAGCTCCAATGGCGGAACTCCTACAGACACCTCCTTTTTTCCATAACTACAAGCTCATGTCAACCCTTGATGTCTCGTAAACTCTCATTTCCACCCTGTGCTTGATTTCCTCTGACATGCTCAATTAAAAGCGTATCTGCGATCCTTACCAGCACTTACCTGCAGATCATCACCAGTTATGCCAGCCTACCCCATTTGAGCAAATTTGTTTAGATGGAGGCTGCTTCCTCACTCTTTATTTCACTTCTGTGCCTTTTGATTAATTTAGGTGATATGCCGGGAACTCGCCTTTCTACAGCATTGGGAACGGGACCTCAATGCCTCATTTTCGCAAGCCCAGAAGGAAAGAATACTTTGATTCACTCACAAGGCTTCCCTAGAAGTAGATACCAGAAGGGAGGCTACAAGCTCCTCACTCAGTGGTATAGAAACTCCAGCAAAACCCCATGTACCTAGGACCTGCTTGCACTGATAGGAATCTGTGGGGAACCCTTATTCATATCTTCTGGGAATGCCCAAAATTAAAAAAGCTTTGGGGATAAAGTTGAGAGTATGATTATGACCCTAACAGGTGTATCCCTTGACAAAAAATCCAGCCGAATGAATGACACTTCACTATCTACCAAGAAATGTAAAAAACTCCTTGCTCAAACACAGCTGCTAAGGTCTGCATTATGGTGTTATGGAGAAGCATGAGCTCCCAAAAAAACCTAATTGGATTGACAAAATCCCAGGAAATGGAAAGTCTCACCATGCTCCTGATGGAACAAGAGGGCAAAATGTTGGCACCTCTTGCCTCTCAGTCCTAATTAGTCCTCTAAGAAACATCCAAATTCTTTGACTTTCTGAATGGAATTATCCAAGAGGGAGATAGATCACTTAACCCAACCCTCCTTGCTCCACCTTCCTCCCACCATTCCCCATCCTCCTTCGCCTTCCTTCTACCGACTTAATTTTTCCACCCCTCTTATGCCCGTTTTTTCTGGTTTTTATCCTCTTTTACTATTTCTTTTTATGTGCTGCACACTACTGTTTACCTACTATAGAGGTTTTCTCTCTTTTTGAACAACAAATAAAAAACCTTGGATTTTGATATCCACTATTAACTGTTGATAACTTGCTGACATACCAGGCAGTCTATGATCATTACTGGGACACATTCTCTCCTTAACTTTCTGTGTTTTGCATTACTGGTTGTACTATATGTATATCTGTGTCAACTGATTGTTAATCTGGAAAATGGTATTCAATGCTGTTGTGAAACATATCCTGTTCTGTATTGTAATGCCGAATTCCTTCAACAATAAATAATTTATTTAAAAAAAAAAAAAGAATGCTTTGCATTCATTTAGAAAATGCAAAGCATTCTCCGAATGGTGCCTGTGTTAATCGGCCAGCCTCCTGTGTGTTCAAAATGCAGCAGGGAAGCCACTTGGTGTAGGACCCGAAAACAAGTTGAGACCACTGGATTAACGAAGTCTACTTCAGTGATTTTCATTGGTCATGTACAGGGGCGGACTGACAAATCATGGGGCCCCCGGGCAATAGGGGATCATGGGGCCCCTGTGTCCTTGACCAAACTCAAAAAATCCTATGAAAAAGGTACCAGGGGCATCTCATGGGGCCCCCTACTGACCCCGGGCCCTCGGGCAGTGCCAGAGTTTCCAAATGGTCAGTCCGCCCCTGGTCATGTATGATACATGCATAATTACATTGGTCCAAGTCTGTTGCTATGACACTGGTATCTACTAGAAATCTTAAGCCCAAACGTTATTTGGTTCCTTACGAACTGGCTGAAATTCACTCTACTGGTGGCCCTGCCGGCACCCTTCTGCCTGGCATTTTTCAATTAAAAAAATCCAAGAAGATGGGTGCAAATGTTCACTAGAACAGCTGCCTGTTTAGGTTTTCAGATGCAGCTGCTGTTTGAGCATTCTGACAGCCACTGCCAGGGGTAGCAGAAGATTTGTCCATCCTTGCTTTAGTAGATGGAGGAATCTGTTAGAGTTTTTTTTCAGTAGGCAGGCTAAACAAAGGAAATATAGGAATTCATGGCCAGATTTAGACCTGTAAAATTTTAGTCATTCCTATCTCACCCTGATAAAATACCCGCTTTAGATTTATCTAAAGAGTAATTATTACTAGGTGGAGAGCTTTGATAAGATGTTGAGATAACCTCAGGCATTTTCAGTACAGGTTCTCAGAAGGAAGAAAACAGTTATGTGAAACACAAATATTGTCTATGAAACTGAAAAGGCCTTAAGGAGCAGGGTGGTGATCATAAAGGAATTTTCTCCACACTGAGCCCTTATTTATGAGATTCATGTTTGTAATGAGGACAGAGGAAGGATCATAAAGGATGGATATGATATTTCAAATAACTAGGAGCGACTGGGTCTACTTTTATGTGTATGTTTATGGGGATGTGTAATGTATTTTTAGTGTGCACATCGTTACATTACCATATGAGTGAGTAAAATTGTAATATATATTACAACTACTTGCCCTCTGGAATTAATTTTTTTCATTTTTCACACACATGTTAAAATAAGCTTTGTTGGCTATAACATTATCTAAAAACTCCAAGAACATTATATATTTTCTAAAAGCAGAGGCACTGTAGAATAAAATAAATGGTAGTGGCATGGTATTTGCACAACTGTTCATCAATTCTATATTTTCAGGAAAAATACACTTCATATTGAATGGTGCATAAATGCACAAAAATTAACTGAAGTTGTTAATGGGGCACCATTAACAATTAAGGGCGCTGAAAGTGTGACTATTTTTTAGGTGTACAAAGTGGCCATACACTATACCAGACCTTGAAATTTGCACTCACCTGCTCGCATCAGCGAGTGGAAATTACGGTGGGGACAAGTGTGCCCCCAGGGCCATCTTGCTGAGCAGGCTCGGAGCTCAGGCCAGCTCTTTCACTCGCACTGGGAGCCGTCACACTGCTCAATAGCTGAGAGCAGTGAAAGCAAAGCAAAGAGTGTGCTGTGCTCTCTGTCTCCCCCTAGAGTGCTGTACCCGCCTCTGTGGGTGAAGGTAAGGAAGTACTGCAACTTTTTATGGGGCTGTGTGTGTATGTATCTGTGTGTGTGTGTATGTGCGTACGTGTGTCTGTAAATGTGTCTGTGTGTATGTATCTGTGTATGTGTGTATGTACGTGTGTCTGTGCATGTGTATGTACATTTGTCTGTGCGTGTACATGTGTCTCTGTGGTGTGTATGTAGATGTGTCTGTACTTGTGTGTGTGTGTCTGTACATGTGTGTGTCTGTACATGTGTGTGTGCATGTGTCTGTGTGTGTACATGTGTTTCTGTGCATGTATGTACATGTTTCGACATGTGTGTGTGTACGTGTGTGTGTGTACATGTGTCTGTGTGTAAACATACATGTATGGCAGGTTTGGTGAGGTTCAGGATGATGTGGTTATTATGAGTGTTGGAGTATGGGGCATTTGAGGTACTGCTGGGTTGCATAGTAGGTAGGATATGTTTGGTAGAGTTATGGTTTTGTGAGTGAAAGATTATGGGGGGGTTAAGGTTGTATGCAGTACATGGTCTAAGTATGATGGAGTGTTTAGGGGGACATTGGAGGCTCCAATATAATGCGGGGGTCCTCTGGAGACACTGATGAAATGTGGGGGGACTCTGGGGACACTGATGAAATGTGGGGGGACTCTGGGGACTCTGATGTAATGTGGGGGGGCTCTGGGGACCCTAATGTAATGTGAGTAACATGAAAACAGTGTCTTTTTATGAGATAATTTACAAGGGCATGTTTAGGGGTGGAATTAGGGGCAAGGCAGGGTAAGGATTGGGTGGGGCAGCGGGTGGCGAGTATCTCTTAAGGCCTGGCTCATAGCTCAGGACTTGAAATTGTGAGCCCTGCACTATACAATCTGATTGTACAGTCTCCTTTAGAGTTGCCAAAACTATATAATAGGAGGACACACCATCTTAATTGCTCTGTATCCAGTCAGGCAGGCCCTTGCAGTACATAGTTAATGGTAGATCTAAATGATGTTGTACAATCAGATTGTATAGTGTATGGTGAGCTTTACAGACTTCCAGGACATACTCCTCCTGTTTTCAATACTACAGCTCTGCTCCACATAGGCTGTAATGTGATTTCCCAGCTCCTTCACTCTGTCAAGTGAACTATCTATGCTAATAGACCA